TATAGGTTAAATCAAGACATTTTTGTATGATATTTAGTTCCCAAGATATATAATTTTTAATTAAAAATGATTTTTGTACAGCTTATTTTCTTGACATTTTCACATAAAATTTTTTAATTGAAGTAAGTGGATAAGATTATATTGTACAGAACTACAGAGTAATTTTCAATGATGAATATTTATTCATTATTGAAAATTATTCTATAGTTCTGTACAATATAAAAGTGTAAAATAAAACAAAATTTTAAAGACACAAGTCTAGGTCTAAGTGATTTTATTAACTTTTTTGAACAAAGTATATTATGATACTAACTATTTTATATTACTAATAGTAAATACATATGATATAGACATAAATTAAATGTTTAATGAATAAAAAGATAACTAAACTGGGTTAATAATTTAGTAGGCTATAGAAAAGGAAAGAAAGGAAAATGAAAACTACAATATAACACAAATTAGTAAATACACTTTTTTCACAAATATTTTGGATGCACTGTGTCCTCCTTCAGCAGAAGACAAACTATTCCCCTTTCTCCTCCTGTAATTAATTATTAATAGTAAACACATAAAGCTTTATTCAATGGCCTGTTAAAAATAATGGTCTATTAAAAGACATAGAAAAAGTAATAAGCCTACACTAATTAAAGAAAAGTTACATAACTAGCCTAGTCTAAATAAAATAGGCATACACCAAAATAAAATGTTTTAGGAACAATTGATTATTTATTTAATTAACATGGAATAAAAATAATGAAGAAAATAAAAGTATAGCCCTGCTGTTTTTTGTGTATTAACATTAAGGTTAAATTAGGTATTGACCTATTACATTTCAAAAATATTAACAGGCTAAACTTAAATAAAAAAGTTTCATGGAAATTAATGACTGGTAAATAAAATCTGGTGTATCATTTTTTATCTAAGGTGTGTGTCATTTTTTGCCTAAAGTGTGTGTCATTTTCTATCTCATTTTGAAATGCACAAAACTCAGACAAAAGGTATATGCAAGAAAAACAACTAGCATCTGAAAGCTGCATTTATATACTACATATAAATTTCTAATTAAATATCCATGTCTTTTGCATATACAGAGCAAAAGTTTGTTGAACTGACAGAAAAGTTTTTGCACCTATTTTTGTAGTGTTTCTTAAAAATTAAAAAGACTCAATGAAACCATAGTCATTTTCATTAAGAAAAGTTATTTGCTAAAAAGCACTAAATAAACTTAATATTGTATTAGTACAGGACAGATCAGACATAGATTAAGTCAAATTTCACAACTGTCTCATATTTTTCAATTTTTTAGACTGTCTCATATTTACCCACATTGATCCTAATTCAATACGTTTGATAATATGTTCCATTTAATATCTGTTTCCTTATGTACATGATAGAATCTATGACCATAATTATTAATCAGTATAAAAGAGAGTCAGTCACTCTAAATACTATAATATTAGTGTTTCTCCATCAATAACCAATCCTGGATCATAAAATCTAAATAGTAATATCAAACCAATTCTGAATGAAAAAAGTAATCAAAGACCACCCATGAAACCAAATCCAACACGCCAATTCAGAGCTCAGAAACTTTGTTGCTTCCCTATTGAAAATAATGTGCATTTAAATCAGTTATCTTTAACCCACTAGAGACCTCAATAAAAGGAAAATCTTGTTTGCTCATTAGGAACAAGTCTGGTTTTGGAAAGGCCTGGATGATATGAGAACCTGGGCTAGTTTTTGTGATAAAATCCACAATCTTAGTCTTATTTAAATTGCATTAGAAAAGAGCTTAAAGGGAGAAGTAATTTATTTTAACAAATTCAACAGAGGAGCTTTGCAAGATTTTCCTACCAATAACACTTTTTTTGTGGGTGACACATTAAAAAAAACTACTTATCGAAGGAAGTCTCACCAAAAATTAGGGATTGGACTAACCACCAGTTCCCCACACAACCTTACCAAATTTGGCCATCTGAATAGTAGGGTGGATAATCTCAAATAAAAATAGAGGTGAAAGAAGATCAAGGAAGAGTTTGCCTGTCCAGTTTCAAAGTGTGCACTCTCATCCTGCCATACTCCACTGATCTCAAATTTCCAATATTTCAACTGAACATTGACCACTCCAAATTTATTACTGTGGACTATTTAGGACTCATTATCTTTAAGCCCTTCCCTTCTTCCAGATGTCCAATTGAACCTTTTGATCCAGGTACAGTATTTATCAATCTGCATACGCAACTGTAAATACTCTCTTTTTCATTTTGGCATTCGTTTAGGATTAGACTCTCCTACTAATTTCATTCCTTTTGTAAAATTTTTATAAACATGAAAAATAAATATTTGTTGTTTAATGGTTAAACGTATAGTGGAGAGTGTAATTTCCAGTGTGTCATCTCTCAACTCCTTCCTTCATCCAAGACCCATTTGTTCTCTCATACACTCATGCTCATGTCATACTTATACATACTGATATAACAATCACAATTGTCTAGAGTATTTGTTTCTCTAAATTGGAAACATTGCTGCTGACAGCAGTGCATAGTGTAGTAATTTTTTTTTTTGCTTCAAAGTTTTTTAAACTAAATAGAATAATTTTTTATTATAAAATGGCCAAAAAGAATTAACTAACTACTGGACTGGGTTTTATAAAAAAAATGTAAATGCTAATAACGAGTAAAATCANTTGTTTATTTAAATTTTATTAAAAAAATTAAATATATAAATTGCTAACTTTATATAGTAGATACTATTAACAAATATTTTTGTTATATTTTTATTGTTTCATTGTAAAGGATATAAAAGAATTGGACAGAAAATTTTAATTTACTTTCCTTAATTTAGACTTTTAAAATTGCATACACTTTAGAATTAGTATCCTTGGCATATATAGGCTATATATTAAAATAACAATATATATAGTTTAAATATAATAAATATGCCAAGGTTGTTCTATACAGACTGCTAAAAATATTAGTAAGATAAATTTAGAAAAATTGTTATTGCTAATATTATTATTATTTTTTTAATTATTTTTTAAGACAACTATAGCATCATATTGTATATATTAGAAAATTATACTTACATGTTAGTAATAAAAAAAATTCTTCAAAGGTCAGTCTAACATTTGATTTTTGATTTAATCATTACAGCAGAAATGAACATCTTACATCTCACAAATTTGCATTAACTCTTTAAACTCTGAGAACCTTCTTCTAGTTGTAACTACAGAATAAATTGTTTTTATCCCTCAGATTGCAAGGGGAACTTGTATACCAAAACCAAACAACTTTTACATAGGCCAATTTACTTTTGAACAGATACGGCTGATTTCAGTCAATTTTGTGTTTAAAGAATTAATCAATACACTAAATATATAGTCAAACTTGGTTATAACAAGCACTAGGGGGACCAGCAAGATTTTGTCATTATAACTGTTACTTGCTATGCCCTTGAAGAACAGTGATGTAACTAGAGGGAGAATGGACTGTTGTTCTGGACACAAACATGTAAAGGGCACCTTGCAGATGGAAAAATTTGCAGCTATACCACTGATGATTAGTGAAATCTATCTACTAATTTTTAATTCTAAATAAGTTGATAAATTCAAAAAACAAAAAAAAAGTTATGTAATTGCATTATACTGTATTTTTATTAATATACAATACAATTAATATTAAACAACTTAATTTTTTTGTAATTAAAGTAATACTAATTAATAATATGCCCAATTTCAGTTAGTCTTTTTATCTATAAATCGTAAAATTGATGATTGCTTTAAAAATTTCACTTTCATATTTCTCAAATTTACAACTCACTGAGTCTTAAAGTACTCAGTGAGTTGTAAGTCTCATTATTTACAGTCAACCCCCTATAACACTTAATAATTCCATTTTATATGAATTCCATGTTGTATGAGTCACTTAGATTTTACAAATGTGTGTGCTTGGCTGTGAACGGCTCATGTATTTGTAAAATCTAAGTTATGTTTGCATATCTCCGATCTATCAGATCAGTGCTGTTTGCAACAAACATATTTAGAGTTTATTCTGATTACTTTCATTTCAGATACTTTAAAATCCATTTTTGACTTAATGTGTGAATGAATTGTAAGTTTCCAATTACCAAGTTGTCAGTCTTTACCAAGAACATGTACTTTTCCTATATGCTCAAAAATTTTATTGTAGTCTTCTGGTAAAAGAAGTATTTCAGTTTTTCTTAATTTTCCCACCCTTCCAAAGGCCCTATCTGCGGGTAAATAACTATGGCCCATACCGGACATGTAATCTCAAAAATTAAACTATACAAATCTGAAAGTTCATTTAGCATTGCTAATAATATGTAATTATTGTTTTGTGCATTGCATCCATCACAAAACAAATTCATTTTATTGATTTTTGAATTTTCCTTACAAAAATTTCTATGAAAAAGTACACGACCTCTTTCTAGCATGTCGACTAAATACTTTTTGAACTTCTTCAGAAAATGTGGCTATTATTAAAGAAAAATTAAGAAAACAATCAAACACGATAGCACTTGCATTTCAGAAAGCAGTCATTACTGTGAAATAGTCATGTGACCAATATACACTTTGTAATTGGCTGTATGGAAATGCAAAAATTTGGAAATAAATACAAAATGAAAAATGCCACATTTGAAAAGAAAAACAATGTTTTGATACATTTTTCAACAGAAGAAACATCCATTTCAGGGAAACAAATATTGTAGCACTATAGAGAAGCATATTATCAATGTGTTGGTGCCGTAAATTAAAAAAAATAATAAAAAAGGGAGATACATCACTTTGAAAATAAGCTCTTCAATTATGTATCTCAAAGAAGTAAATGCATTGTACCAAGTTTTGTGAAATATAATAATTTCTAGAAGTCATTTTTTTTTAAAAGTTTGTTAATTTGCTTAATTTGAATTTTAGTTTGTTGTGTTTGAATAAAAATAATTGATATTAAACTGATTGTATATGTATTTATATTATTTTTCAGGAATCACACTACTACATCAAGTCCAGAACAAAGTCCAAAGATTGGAAACAAATTAGAAGACATGAAATTAACTTCACAAGTATCTTATCTTTCTACTCAATCCATTCCTCATAGTCCTCATTCTCATAGTCCTACGCCTTCGCCTATAAGTAGTATTCCTAATTCAAGAGAGGCCTCTGTAGAAAAATCATTAGACACAGGAAGTGTAGTAACAAATTCAGTGAATCATGATAATACAAGTATTGGGGACAATATCAGCCATTCCTCAGAATCTTGTAAATCTGTTGAATTTGGATCACTTCAAAAGTCACCAGATTCACTGTCTAAACAAGATTTATTAAAATGTCGCAAGAAAGAAAAGAGGAAAACTGCATGGTACAATGTAAGTAATACTTTCAATATAATATGTTTAAATTTATCATTTTCAGTCTGTGTATTAAATAAAATATATTCAGTAAAGATTGATTTTCTGTGTTTGAAAAATTAATAAATTTTGGATGTAAATAAAATTAAATAGAATTTAATGGAAACATAACACTTTTCTAAAAAAGAATCATACTTTCTGTTAAATATTAATCCTTCCAGATATGCAATATTGATTGGGAAGAAGATCAGTCAAACAACTTTGCTTTCCTCATCAATTGATCAATTTTCAAGTACAAAAATTATTGGTATATAAAGTGTTCAGAAAGTCTCTTGAAGTTCAATAGGATATTAATAAATTGAATTGTGTCCTTATATTAAATCAGTTATGTTAATATCCAATAGTGATTATCTAAGTGATCTTGTTTTACTTTCAGAATGCATATAATTGGTAATGTTTTATTTATTATTTAATATTTTTTTGAATTTATCAATTCTTTCATTCAGGAAACCATACTTGATTATCTTTGCCATCCATAAAAACTGTAGTAATTTTTTAATTATTAAAAAGGTAAGAGAAGTAAAAATTAAAATTATTAAATCTTTATTATTTACATCACAACGATGCATCATAAATTCATTTTTATGAATTAAAACTATGATCAATATTTTCTCCAGGAATTTTTACTAGCCGTGTAAAATGGAGTAGTAGCTTAGTGGATAAAAAAATATGCTGCAATTTTCTGTTTTTTTGTAAACATAACACCTTTTTTTTATAATCAGTTTTGGAAATGGATCTCTTCTTATATTTAGGCAATCTTTTTCAGTCTGTTCCATTCATACATTTCTTTTCCTTGATGTCTGTTTGTCTATCACTTTTCATATATCTTCTTCCCTGGTCTTTCCTGGACTTCCTCTCTCTTCTTTTCTGGTTTATTCCCTGGCTATCCTTGGCAATTTGTATTCTGTAATTCTTCTCACATAACTATACCATATAAGCTGCCTTTTTTTTATTTCATCAATAAGTTTTTAATTCTTTATTTTGTTCATACACAGAATTCTGACAATTTTCATATCTTGAAGTCCTGGTATCTATATGGTTGTCTTGTAATAATGACAAAAGATGTCTTGTGAATATAAACTAAGGAGATTTACTGTATGTTGTTTAGTTATGTTTTAAAGAAACCTTTTCTGATTCATCAGTGATATTTTGAGTATTGCATCATAGATTTTTTGGAATTATTCCAAGTATACATCTAATGATTTAATCTGATGGTAGCATTCAATAAGGATAAAGGAATGAATTTGCTTCTTCTTTTTCTCACTTCTAACAGAATGAGATGAAAATTTATTTTATCAAATGATTCTTTTTTGTGTTTTGATTCCTGTAAGTTATCGACCAACAGTTAATTGTAAATTTTTGACAATGAAAACTAATTAATATCAAATGATAAATTCAATTTATTGATTTTTGGGAAATAATCTAATCAATAATTACAAATAATTAATTAACTAACAAATAATTACAAAATTGAGAACAGAAAATGAAAACAGCATTTATTAAAGTATTTTGCCTTTTCTAATATTGAAGACTTAATCAGTAAATGTTAGAGGAAATGGCAGTAATTTAATAAATTTGGTTTTAATAGTGTGCAATTGATTTTATGAAACTGTGTTTGAGCATTGTATGTGATTTAAAGATTGTATTTTCTGAATAGTTATTATTGAAAATTAAAAATAAAAACAAACATTAATAACTGAAACAAATGTTTAATAATTTATTAAATTGCTTGTTTTCAAATTATATAGACACAAGAAAGACTTTCTGAATATATTCTATATAATGTAAAAAGAATATAATTTGCCATATCATATTGCTTTTTTAAACAATTACAATAAAAATTATTTCAAAAATAAAATAAAAACAAAAACTGCTAAAGATATTTAGAAAGCCATAAGAAATTTTAATGTAAATAGCGAGGTTGAGGCCAAAGTTTTAAACGCGAAAACATGTATGTCGGACATTCAGCACCACTTTCTTGTAAGCCTAGAAGTTTGACAATGGTGTTTGGAACATTAAGCATGATTCCACTGACTATCCAAACACCATTGTCAAACTTCTAGGCTTACAGGAAAGCGGCACTGAACATTTGACGTACACGTTTTTGTGTTTAAAACTTCGGCCTCAATCTCGCTACTGAAATATAAAGAAATTAAATTACAATTTGAACAAATTGTGATTTACAATTTGTTCAAATTGTAATGAAATTGAAAATTGTATTTTGTAATTAAGCTAATATTGAAATTTAAGAATTTTACTTTATTGGTTTTGATAAATTGAAATAATTAACTATATTGATTATATGTTTTTAAATTCATGATAGTCATAATTAACTTGATTTTTTTAAATATTTATTTACATTAAATTTGTGTATGATCAATAAATTAAAATTTAATATTTTAGTTATTAAGTCCAACTTATAAATCACGAAGTGATGATTTTAAAAGATTATTTAAAGATCTTCCTGAAAATGAACGACTTATTGTAGGTAAGTGAATAAACTTTTATATAAATTTATTATAAGATAATGATAAATAATAATACTAATTCCACTATTAATAGTAACAATTTATAGAAATTTATAAAACAGTTCCAAAAAATGTTGTTAATTTTTGACACAATGCAATCGTGGTTTATGTGGAGAATTATTTCTGGAAAATCTGTGTAAATGAAGAGTTGTATGAATGCAGACTAGTGATCCCGAAATTTTAAATTATTCTATGGGAACTTCTTTTAAATAAAATTTAATGAAATTTTTAATAAAAATATACACCATATGATTCTTAAGTTCATTTAACAGTGTGTCTATAAAATATGTTACAGTGGTACCTTGTACTCAAATGCTTCAAAGTTTGAACACTAAATTCAACAAAAATTTGCCTCAGAGTTCAAACTGCACATGTAGTAGAAAAATGTGCTTGAAGCGTAAACACAATCTGTTGAGCACTCAAGTTGTCTCTCTCTTTTGCATTACAGTTGTGTTTTCAATACTATTTTCCTTTATTTTTGGCAAAGAAGCCTAAGAAGAAAGTTGTAATATTGACAACTGAAATGAGAAAAGGAAGTTGTTTTATAGAATGTGAAAGTGGTACACCTGTGGTCGATCTGGCAGCCATGTTTTAAGATGCCAAAATCAACCGTGTTTGACCAGTTAATGCAATTTTTATTTTATTATGCAGTATTTACATATATAAGAAAATAAACACCTTGCATAATTTTCCAGCACAAAGAGTTTGTATACAAATGTTTTCAATTTATTTTATAAACCTGCTTCAGGTTTGAAATTAACACTTTGAAATTCCCAAATTGGAATGTTTTCAAATATTTGATTATGTTATTTATAAAATTATTTTTAAATATTGTAAACATGTATACATAAATATATATTTTTGAACAATTACATATTAATGAAATACTGAGTGTATATAAATTGAAAGCTGACAAAAACAGCTCTTGTACTAATGAAAAGAGCATTGTACCTTTCTCAGCTCAATGACATTATCATAGCTATGGAATGTAAGCCTGTCAATGAAGACTATTTACAGCACTTCCAAAATAGAGTCACTAGGTTCACCAGCACTAAGTTAGCTAAAATGTTACAATTACACAGAGCTATTGTGACATCCCCAGACACCCTGAGACTCTTTGCATTTGCTAAAGCACATAAACCAGACATGCAACTTGGTCCCATTATTGGTTAGGTTAGGTTAGATTAGCCAAATCTCTAACTATTATGCTAGAAAAACATATTCATAGGTTTTTAGCAGAACACCTGAAAAATTAGAAATTCTTCTTGCAAGATCCACAAAAATTAATTGCAAAGTTAAATGAAATTACATTAACAGACAAGTATGTCACAGTGCTAGATTTTGCTTCACTATATCGATCAATATGTTTAAAACCATGCTTTTCCACACTACATGATTTTCTTTTCAAACTTATTCATTTGCCACATCTATATCACAAATAGGTGTTAGAACTAGCACACTTATTATGTTATACACCTTTTTTTAAATATAATAACAACAATTATGTTCAAAAATGGATGTATTGATGGGTAGCTCATTGAACTTTTAAACAATTTTCGTAAGTATAAGCAGAGAAAATAGGTTGACTACACTAGTGTTAATTGTGTTCTGGTGATTTTAAATGGACATACAAAAAGTTTTTTTGAATTTTTCTGTGTTTAGTCTTCAATATTGTTTTTTAAACATATTTTATCTTGGATTTTTAAATATTTCTTTTACAATGGACTTAATTTATTTAAAAGTTAAAAATTAAATGAATATTTAAATATTTTAAAGTCATTTACTATAAATAAATTAATAAAGTAATTGTATAAAATTGGCTTTCAGATTATTCTTGTGCAATGCAAAAGGATATATTAATGCATGGGAGATTGTATGTTTCTGAAAATTATATATGTTTCTATGCCAATATTTTTCGGTGGGAAAGTTTTGTAAGTATTTTCATTTTATGTGATTAATTAAGTCAAGATTTATTAATCTGTAGAAATATGATTTGTCTATTTTTTTGAAATAAATAAATACTAAAATTTAAATCATAATGGTTAAATATGTTAATGTAGTAAATGATACTAATTTAATAATAAAACAATGTTATGTTAAAAATTTACATTTATAAATTTTTAACATTGTTAACTAGCTAACATATTTTAAATAATAATCAGTTGTGATTGGCATCTTTATGCAATATTTTTCTCAATTATATTTGAAATTTATTATTCATATAATGGAAAGAAATAGCATGTAAAATTATTATAAGAAGTTTAAAATAGTTATTTTTCAAAATTGTAATTCTATCATATGTTTGTTTTTTATAAAAATAAGTAATAAGTGTGCTGTTAATAACTGCATTGTTTTTCAATATTAATCTTGAGTAGATAAAAAAAAATTTTATAATCAAATTTTTTACATAAAAATTATAGATTACACAGATTTCTACAAATTAATAATTATGAATATAAAATAGTGTTCATTATTATTTTTTGAATATTAATTTCTCTTGATTAGATGTAATTAATTGTTACATTACTCAAACAAACCACCATTTTCATACTGAGCTACATTATGGCTAATAAACTATTAAGGAATTAAGTAACTTGGCTAGAGGTAGTCAGTTAACTTGCCATCTTATGTTAAGTTTAATTTAGAATATTCTGGAAGAATGATTAAATTTAAAATGACATGGTAGCTTAATCATCTACCTCTAACAAAATTACTTAATTCTTTAATTCTATATCAGCTATAATATAGTCCAATACAGGGAAGTAGACACATGGGGTGGCATTTTCCTCACTAATACTCTTCTGTCATTCACACTCTGCCAGTCACCATGAGTTTAAAAGTAAACAATATAAAAAAGTTGTAAGCAGTTTACCATGGGATGAAACAGAAAACAGATACATCAGACTAAGACTAGCTATTACGACCAGATACAAGATAATGAAGAATAAAATTTAATACATGTTCTTGTTCAGTCTGCACTTTATTGAGTATTGTCATGTGTATAACTGCTTTTATATGACATACAAGGAGCTGCCATACAAATAAGGCAGCTCCTTGCACAATAATGTGTTATGGTGCTCTTGGGCTATTGCATTTTTATGGTAGTTTACCTTCTATGCTAAATCTATGCAAGTAATAAGCAATACAAGTGATCCACGCTCAGAAATTTCTAGTTACATCCTTGCCAATAACAATTTAGTAGTTTGTTTGAATAATTTAATTAATTATTGGGCTATTTGTATATGTTCTTGTTAGGTTTCTATTTAAGCAAACAATTCTTAAGTTTTTAGAGAATTTGATAATCTTAAGAAATTTATATGTGTAATAAATTTGTGTATTTATTGAGCAGAGCTCTGTATAAGCCAGAAAGTGTTTTGTCTGTGATCAAAGTTTAAAGCAACTGCATCACCACCAAACATGATTTTTTTGCAAATGCGTAAAAGTTGGTAAGGTCTTCACAAAGTCAGAATTTTGAAAATCAATCTATGGGCTGAGATATTTGAGTTCAAAGTTTGCCGTGTAAAGTCTACAGACTGACTGTTGGTTATAAGTTAGTCGGTCACTACATGTTAATCAAGTTTCTGATTGCTGTTTAAATTTGAGTTTAAATTGATCTCTATAACAATTTTTTATTTTGATTTTTTTATGGATGTTTAACATGCATGGTCTGCAGCCACACATGTGCATGTTTGAACCAGTTGTTCGAGTTGATAGGTCATTTGACACAAATGTGGGTATTTTAAACAATTCTTAATGCTTTTGGATATGCATTAATGACATCAGACATGCATGTCTTCCCAGAACCTGCATGTTTTAAACTGCTTTAAACAGAATGTTACAAGCATATTACTGTATTTATGTTTTTGTGTGAAGCCAAAACAGAAAAACCTATGTTGCAGAGCTTGACTTCATTTTCTTTGAAAATACCTAGTATACATTTGAAGGATTACTTTAATAATTATACTTCACATTAACTCAAATATAATGAGTGCATTTCTGTAATTATTTCTGTATAGAAAATCAACAAATTAAATCTCATAACTTTTTAGATTTGATTTATTAATTTTCTATACACAAGTAATACTTTCCTCTCAACAAAATTTAAAAAGAAAAATAACTGCATATTGAAATTGATTTTATTTGGCTTCTAATGATGATCAGGAATGTCATAGAAAATTTAGGCTGTAAATAAAATCAGTTTCTTTACCTAATTGTTTTGAAATTTAAGAAGTTAAATATTTTAAACTATAATAAATCACACCATTCATACTTTTTTCAGCACTTTAATATACGAATGTTTTTGGCCACATTTAGGGGCCTGCATCAGGTTTTAACATTAATCAAATCTAATGTCTATAATGAAATAACAGTTTGGTGGAACTTTTGTGTTCTATTAATATCAGAAGCTTTGAAAATAAGTATTTCCTAACCATACATTTATGTAATAAAATTACATAAATAACAAAATCATTTAAATAAGTACATATTATAGACTAATAATATATAAAATAGATATTGATAACTATACAATTACGTAAAAAAATACATAATAAAAAGAAGTAATTAAGAAGTATTTAAAATAAATAAATAACACACAAATAAAATAAAATTACAAAAATATAGGAATCATGTGAAATATATATAATCTCAGTTAATGATAGCTGTATTGTTTTGTAGGGTTATCTGGTATTGATTGCCATGCTGAGGAAATGGCTATAGATTCTTTATTATTGATACAATTTTCTTCAAGATTTGTCACAAATATTTCAAAAGCATCAAGGATTCTTATCCTATGAATATTGAATTCACATTTCAAAATTTTGGCTTCAGACTGTTGAGATATTCCTGACTCTGATACAAACTATGCCAGCACTGTACTAAGATTATTTTTGTGAATAAAATGCTGATGTTCTTTGAGCCTTTGTGTCAGTGATCTATTTGTTGATCTTATATATGTCAAATGGCTATCAAATCTGCTATCATAGAGTGGTTTAGAATACATCCAAGGGTTTTGTTGGGAGAAAATGTGAATGGTGTGATTTATTATGCATGAGTTCTAGCATACATGTTTATAGAGTATTTTAATTAATTTAATTTAATATTATTTTTAAAATGTTAGTTTTAATAGTAATATCTTTAATATTTAATATAGGTGATGATGAGGTGTAGAGACATTCTTAGCATGACTAAAGAAAAAACAGCTAGAGTTATACCTAATGCTATACAGATTTGTACAGAAACAGAAAAATACTTTTTTACATCGTTTGCTGCTAGAGATAAAACTTATTTAATGTTATTTCGACTATGGCAAAATGCTTTAATGAATCAAGTAAGAAATACACATGATGGTAATGAATTTAAATATCAGTTAATTGTCTGAAAAATATAAAATGACCTATTTTCATCTAGCCATTGATGCCTCAGGAATTATGGGAATGGGTCCATTACTATTATGGTGAAGAGTTAGGATTGACAAGTGATGATGATGATTATGTTTCACCAGATTATATGGATTTTAAAGAAAAAGGTCAACCAGAAAATTCAATATCTATTAAAGAAAATGATGAATTTTGTGATAAATCAAATAATGCAGCTCAGGACGAGGAAGTCACAAAACATGATATATCAAATGTAAGTGTAATTTTAACAATATATTGATGATGATAATTGTAAAATTAAGTACAATGGGTGATTGGTTAATGAACAGTTCAGACTGAACAAATCAGACAATGAACACTTTCGCGAAAGATTTTTATGTTCAGACAACGAACATATATTTGGATAATCAACACTTCACAGAACAAACACAAGAAGAAGCAACATAAAATAACGAATACTGATTGGTTTTCCCTTGTCTCCAGGTAACAATTTGAAACCTTTTGAAGCATGGGAGACATCAACATTAAAGCTCAACCTGATACCGATTGCACAGTATTCCTCCTAACTTTGAAACTCTTCATTGTAATTCCAGCTTTTTGTTTACCTTTCTAGCAAATAATTTTTTAGTCTTTGCTAGACTGTTGGGCACTCGTTAAGTTTTGTGTTGGTTTTTATTTTTTAAAGTGAGAGTTTAACTGTCCTAGTGGATATTTGTTAACGTTTTAACACCATAAAATTTCGAATTTTATTTGAACCTCACATTTACATAATTCTTTTGTGCGCTAATTGATTTCAGTTCTCTGAATTTTTGTGACTACTTTTTTGAAATTTTTATTTCAAAAAGAAATTGATAATATTATGGGGCCTAAAAAGAGTGGAGTGTCAAGAACTGTGCTCACCATAGAAAACAAGCAAGAGATAATAGCTAAGATAGAGAGTGAGCAGAAGATGTCTGATGTTGCTAGGCAGTATGGCTTAAACAGGTCTACAGTAGGCACAATCTTAGCTAAGAAAGATATAATCAAGAAGACTCAAGGAGCTAAAGGAGTAATGAAAATCACATCTGAGAAACAAAGATGTGCCATTCATGAAAAAATGGAGAGATTAGTATTTAAAATGTCTACTCAGACTTATTTTATTAACAGGACTTATTATACCGATGTCTTTGTTTAGCAAAATTTAAGAAAGCTGTCAGAAAAATAACCTTTAAAAAGTCTTTATTTTTCACTTGTACACTTTTTACATGATATTGTGTTTTGGACTTGTTCGTTCCTCATCAGCAGGTTTACATCCAATTTTTTTTAAACAAATCATTAAAAATCAATATAAATTTATAAAATTCTGACAATAAAATCTGACAATAACCAGTTACATTAAATTACTTAATTTTTTTACTTTTAAATACTTCAAAAATGAAAATTACAAACAGAGCTACACTTACTATATTTCCCATATACCTGTATATAATAGTAATAAGCATAAATTACATTATTAAAGTATAACAAATTTACAACTTACATATTGTATACTCACTGTTACTTGAACCATTATCATATTACCAGATGCTTTCTCTTATATACCTTTTCCCTTTTCATTCCTTTTGTTGATGATTCTATTCCATGATTGGTCGATTTTTCTTCCCATATGGTTGTTCATTCTGTTCTTTTGTCTTGTTATGTAAATGTGTTTGTATAATTGCCTTTTGAAATTATTCTTTTCTTTTTTTTTTATCAAACCACAATATCATGTAAAAAGTGTACAGGTGAAAAATAAAGACTGTTTTTTCTGATAGGCTTTCTTAAATTTTGCTAAACAAAGATGAGGCTAAGTAGACATTTTAAATACTAAACTATAAGATAAAGACACACAGGAATATGATTTAATAAATGGAGAGATTGCTTTTAATTTGGATAAAAGAAAGGGAAATGAAAAGAGATGTAACTAATATAACTATCATTTAAGAGAAAGCTAAAGAAATTTATGAAGAACTGAAGAAACAAACTCCACATTTGTGACATGAGGAGATAGAATTCAAGGCTATTACTGGATGGTTTGCAAAATTTAGAAGATCTGGCATTAAATATTTAGTAATCCACAGTGAGTCTGCTAGTGCAGATAAAGGAGAAGCTGAGAAATTCTGCCTCAAATTTGAAAAATTCGTAGGATATTGTCCACAACAAAATTTTCAGTTGTGATGAAACTGATTTATTTTGGAAGTGCATGCCAAACTGTACCTATATCACGAAAGACAAAAAAAAAAAAAAAAATTCCTGGGCATAAACCCACAAAAGACAGACTGATGTTACTTTTGGGAGCTAATGCTAGTGGTGATATGAAGTTTATCCTGCTTCTTGTCTATCACTCTGAGAACCGTAAAGCATTCAAAAAAATGTCTATAATTGAAGAAAGACTGCCAGTGATGTGGAGATAGAATAAAATGGCATAGATCATGCAGGTTTTTTTTCAAAGAATGGCTGTTTGAAGTTTGTGCTCCAAGCATCAAGGATTACCTTAAGACCAATGAATTGCCATTGAAAGCACTGTTGCTATTGGACAATGAACCAGGACACCCAAAAGACCTTGAAGATAGATTATTGGAAGACTTTCCCTGGCTGACAGTTCAGTTTATACCTCCGAATACCACTTTGTTGATCCAACCAATGGATCAAGAGGTTATTGCAGATTTTAAGAAATTGTACATTTGAGCACTGTTTCATCGGTGTTTTGAAGCATGCCAATTCTCCTCAATGATGACATTAAAAATGTTTTGGAAAGAAAAAATTGACATTCTTGAAACTATATGGGTCATTCAAAAGGCATGGTCAAAAGTCACTCAACAACAGTTGAATTCTGCTTTGCAAAAGCTGCATCCCTCCTGCATTCAGGAAGAGAGAGATGATGTCTCTGAAATTATGGATGAAATTGTGATAACTTCTAGAGATCTGGAATTGGAGGTGAATGAAGATGACATTGAAGAGCTCATAATGGAAACTGATATGACAACTGAATAACTCCCAAGAACTCTCAAATGAAGAATACCAAGAAACTCAGCGAGATATCTTTTCTTCTGAAAAAAGGAAGATGAAAGAGGATCAATGCAGACATCTGCTATTAAAGATCTTTTGAAGAAGTGGGAAGATGTCAGAACAATGGTTTTAGAATGGCATCCAAACCAGGTTGAGGTTAATAGGCTTGGGAATATCTATGGCGACAATGCTATTAATTAGTTTTGAAAAATCCTGAAGAAGAGAGAAAACCAATTGACATTGTACAGATTCTTTAATGTCCCACAAATGGAAAAATGACATGACTGATAAAATTGCAAGACTGTGTATATATGTATTTTTATTACTACATATAAGTAAACATAGTAAGAAAGTATACAATTTATTATTTATTTTTGGGCTCTCCAGAACGAATTAATCAAACTCCCATAAAAACCTATGGTAAATTGATAATCGAATAACGAACAATTCGGATAGCAAATACAGTCTTGGAATGGATTATGTTTGTTAACCAATCACCCACTGTAATTTAATTTAATTTATAATTTATTTAACAATAATTATTTTATTGTTAAACATATAGAATGTTTCAAAATTATCTTTACAACTCTGTAGAAGAAAAAAATTCAAAGAATGTGTACAATAGTTTTAAACATGAAAATTTGGTCATACGAGGCGTGTTTTTAAAGTAAGTACCGTTTTGAAATATAAAAAAAACAAGCAAACATTTTAAACAAAATTTTTATTTATGTGAAAGCCCATATTTTACACTACTTTTCTACATAATTCCCATTAATATTGAGACACTTATCGTATCGTGGGACCAGCTTTTGTATTCCATCCTCAAAGAATGTTGCCGCCTGATGAGACAACCACTGCAGAACGGTCGTTTTGACTTCGTCGTGATTGTTATGGCGCTGCCCTGCCAGATGCTTCTTCAAATGCAGAAACAAATGATAGTCACTCGGCGCTAGGTCGGGACTGTATGGAGGGTGGTCTAATTGTTCCCAGCCAAATGATGTGATTAGGTCTTGAGTTTGATTTGCCGTATGTGGACGAGCATTATCGTGGAGCAAAACGACACCCTTGCTCAGTAAGCCCCGCCTTTTGTTTTGTATTGCAAGGCGCAGTTTTTTTAAAGTTTCACAGTATGCAGCTGAATTGATCGTTTCACCATGAGGCAAAAAATCAACAAGCAACACTCTGTATCTGTCCCAAAACACCATGCACATGATTTTCTGAGCAGAAATTGTTTGCTTGAACTTGACTTTCCTTGGAGATGATGAATGTCGCCATTCCATGGATTGTTGCTTTGATTCCAGTGTAACGTAGGCTACCCACGTTTCATCACCTGTAACAATATGACTTAAAAAATCATCTCCTTCCTCACTGTAGCGCTCAGGAAAAGTTAATGCACTGGCCAAACGTTTGGTTTTGTGCTCCTCCGTCAACATTTTCGGCACCCAACGGGAATACAACTTCCGATAATTTAATCGTCCGATCACAATTTCATAGAGAACACTTCTTGAAACTGCAGGAAACTCTTTAGATAAAGATGAAATCGTGAATCGTCTGTTCTCTTTCACTTTACAGTCCACCTTTTCAATCAAATCGTCGATAATGACTGAAGGTCGCCCACTTCGTTCCTCATCGTGAATGTTTGTGCGGCCATTACTAAAGGCCCTAATCCATTTTCGTACCATTCCTTCACTCATAACGCTTTTACCATAAACTTCACTGATTTGGCAATGAATTTCAGCCGCTTTCGAGCCTTTAGCACTGAGAAAACGAATAATGGCATGCACTTCGCAGTCGGCGGGATTCTCAATGAGCGGCGGCATTTCAGTAACACACAAACAACAGTAAATACAGTCGACTGGCTCCGTAATGGCGTTTGTGGCTTCCCAACAGATGTAGGTACACAGTGCGCATGCGCTAAGTGCCGACTGCAGCGCTCCAGCGGCATTATATTAAAATGGTACTTACTTTAAAAACACGCCTCGTACATATCAAGTTTCATTTGTATAAACTTTTGTTCTGAAAACTCCCACTTCAGTGTGATCAACTGATTCTCAGGATGGTGGATTGGTTAGTGTGTACTGATAGCTTGGCTACCTTTTTTCCCAGATCTAATACCTTAGTTTTTTTGTGAGATTTGTTAAAGATGAAATGTATGTGCCATCCTTACCTGAAAGTCTGACCAAAACACTGAACTTTACTTACTGCTGCAGTTGTTCAAGTAACACC